GCTGGCCCCGCCCCGCCTTCTCCCACCCCGCCTCATTTCCTCCTCTCCCGCCCGCTCGCCGCACCTCGGGCTCCCAAATCCCACCCCTGCCTCAGTTTTCCGCTGGGGTCGCGCGCTTCCCGGGAGGGAACTCGAAGCCCAGCCACCAGAGGCGACGCTGGGGTGGGGGTGGTGGGTCAGGGAGGCGCAGCGCAGTCTTTGGGGTCCTTCGGCCGCCCTCGAGGAACTTGGGCTGAGAAACACGAGCGTGTGGTTTGGGGTTGGTGCTTTTCCCCCGGTCCCATCACAGCATCTTCCTGCGCATCTGCCTCATCTCGCCCTCCTCCCCCCGCCGGGGTCACAGTCCTGGGGACTTTCTCCGCAGCCGTCAGTCAGCCTGGCGTCCGAGGCGCTGCCCTCCCCACTTCTCACGCCTTCGGCGGCCCTGGGCTGCCCAGCCAGGGAGGTGAGAGGGTGGGGAGCGGCCAGCCGGCTTCACCAAGTCCCCCCGCCCCCCCGCGCACCCTGAGGGTCACCCTTCTCTTCACCAGCCCCGCCGAGTTTGTGGGAGGGAGTAGGCGGGGCGGCCCCGAGGGTGAATTCCCAGAGAGAGGGGCCGGTTGTCCCGAGAGAAACGGCGACATCGACCACACTGGACGTCACTGTTGACAGGTGTGGGGATCTGGCCCCCTCTGTGCTAAGGTTAAGTGCTCCAGATCCTCTTTCTTTCTCAATGTCACAGTGACCAGTACCCTGCCTGCAGGTCAAGGTGCGCGGCTGTTTCCACGCTCACGCCGAGCTGGGCGTGGAGGTGCGCGGTGCTTTCCCCTCCGCCCGCCTGCCGGTTAGAAGATGCGAAGACAATGTTGTACTTGGTCCCAGCAAAGAAACGAGCGGTTACGGGTTTCTGGTCTGGTTGGTGTGAGCACCGGCAGAGAAAGACAACCGCGAACCAGGGGGTGGGGGTGAGAAGTGCCGTCTGAGTATGTCGCTAATCCTTCAGGCTGGGGGCGGGGGGCAGCAGGGTAGGGGGCGGACTCTGACTCGCAGTGCAGTGCCCCCGGCTCTCCCGCAGAGAGCTGGCAAAAAGCTTTGAGATGGTGCTTCGGTGAGCTTGGCTGCCTGGCCGAGGGCAGGAAAGCGAGCGGAGAAGTCTGTGAGCAGGGGCCCTGAGAACGCCGGGCCGAGGTGCAAGGCAGCGGGAGGACGGCGGAGCGCAGCCCTTTGTAGTCACAGTGCCCCTCTCGACATCGTCAAGGGGCGCACAGCGGAGCCATCTCCACTCGGTTACGTTGCCTGGATTTCTCGTCTCCCCTGTGTTCATCGCTCAGCATAACCTGCGGGTGCTGTGGGCTGTCACTTTTGTATCCCACACACGTACACGCAGTGCGCCTTGCGCCGCGCTCTACACACCCAGGCGCTCAGTTTACCGACATATGAAGCAGTAGTTCGGCTGAGAGGCCGCATTCGTGAAACTGAAAAGAACCCTAACAAGACAGGAAACCTCCGGGGCAAATGGTCGTGAATTCCGAGCAGGATTTGCGTCCCCCGAGGTGTCCACGAACAGAAAGGGCGAGGGACAGTATGACGCAGACGTGTAGGTGCACTCCCGGCTTCATCCGGGCTGCTGTCGGTTTTGTGTTCTCACTTACACCACAGTCTAAGCCGTTTGTGGCTGTACCTGCCCTTCTCTCCCCAGGGAGCCTGGGGCCTTGCCCCAGCACACAAGATCTCTTCAATCCGGTGTAGCCTCTGCTGTCCTAGGTCACACCGGGCTATCTTCAAATACCTCCAAAGGAGGAGTCTTGATTAACTAGTTAGTATTTAAGGAACGGATCAATTCGACCTACATATCATACGTCAGAATGAATGGATTAGGTAGGCAGATACAGAAATAAAATCAGGGCGATAAAGCAGAATCATATCCTTATTAAAGGCCTGGAGTCAGACAATCAGAAGAGAATTTTCTAAGACTAATAAGTAAAGGAATCACAACGGAAAGATCTGGACTATATGAGAATGCTGAACGGTTTTAGATGACAGAATAACCAGAAGGTAAAAACAAATATACTAGGAAAAACATTCACAATAAAAATGGCAAAGGGTTAAAATCTCTATAGCTCATAAAAAGAAATAAGAAAAATATTGGGACACACCCCAAAGGCAAATTGTACAAGTGACACGAACTAGCATTTCCCGATGGAGGAAAAAATCCAAGAAAATAGAGACAGGAAAAACACATATTAAAGTAAGAAACTTTTCCATATTAAATTAGCAAAACAAAAAATTATAATGTCAAATGCTGGTGAGCATGTGGTGAAATTATTACTCATGTTTCACTAGCATCATTATAAATCGGTACAAATCTACTGGAAAGCAATTTTACTGTAACTTTCAAGAACCATAAAAGAGACAGCACTTTTGACTCAGTTTTCCCACATCTAGAAAATCATCCTAGGGGGACAGTTGAAAGTAATAAGGAGAAAAACACTAAATATTCATCACAACATTCTTAAGAGTGAAAAACTGTAAGCAACATAGATGTCCAATTATAGACGAATAGCTAAATAAAACATGTGCAGCCACTGGGAAGAACAGTACGCAGCTTGAAAATTATGAGCATGCAGACAAATTTGCTACATGAAAGACTGATTCAGTATCAGGTAAAGTAAGAAAACAACCAGAAAATAAAAGTACTTGTAGAACACATATACCATGTATGTCAAAAATACATACGTATGGGAAAAGACAGAAAGAGAATACTCCAAGGTAATGGTAGCTTTTCTCTCATGGTGGTGGGTGTATAGTTTTCTTTTATCTGTTGTTTAAAACTTTTTGAAATTTTGTTTCATTATGTTAACATTTTTAAACGTTTTATATTTACAAGTAACATTTCCTTCCTCCTGGCTAAGCCCAGTTGTCATACCACCATGGCAACATTCCAGTTAGAATGCTCTGGCGTTTCTGTCATATTTTCTGGTTCATTTTATCACCCTTAAGTCAAAAGGAGAAAGAAAAATGAAACGAAGAAAAGATAAACAAGAACAAACATATCAAACATCTCCTTTTCTTCCTCTGCCTTTTCTTTTTACTTGTGCGTTTTTCCCGTGAACTGGGAAGAGACATTATATTATATGATTTGGCAATTTCCTATTAATACCACAATGACCCTGGATTACATCTTCGGGGACAGAGAGAGGAGGCGGAGGAGGTTTACAGCTCAGTGACCAAATCCTTTGGTGATTCTCTTCACAAGAAAACAGTTCTTTATAAAAGCATGACTCGCTCAAATGGTAGGCGACCCGGTCACCATTTCACCTTCGCTCTTTCAGTTATTGACCTTCCACTACCCTTTCTCAGAGGGTGGTCCTGTGGGCTTCCAGGGGACTCGAGAATCGGCAGTTGAAGGCAGAGAGGGCCGTGTTTGCCAGAAGTCGGCTGTCGAGTGCCTGGCAGTGTTCTAGGCACTGGGATACAACAAGGAACAACGCAAAGATCCACACCTTCACCGAGCTGACACTCCAGAGAAGCGAGAGACGGGCAAGAAGCAAACATAGCATGTTAGATGGCAGTACGTTCTAGGGAGAAACATAAAAGCAGGGACCAGCGCTAGGGAGCAGTAGGGGGGAGGGTTTGGATTTTTCACATATGGAGGTCAAGCAAGGTTTCCTCGAAAGAGGTGAGTCATGAGGACATCTGGTGGAAAGGGGTCCAGGTGGCATGAAGGGCAAATGCAAAGGCCCCGTGCGAGGGTGTCCGGCCATCCCAGAACCTCAGGAAGCTCCAGTGGCCGTGGCCGTAGTGAGATGAGAAGGGGTGGACACCAAGAAGTGGGGGCAGGGAGGTAATGGAGTCAGCCAGGTCACGTAGGGCCTTCTGGGCTATTTGGCTTTTACTCGGAATGAGATGGGAACACACTGGACAGAGGATCGATGTGGTCTGACTTCAGTTCTCACAGGCTCACTTTTGGCCACGGTGTTAAGAACACACTGAAAGGGGCAAGGAAGAGACAGCCAGGTGGAAATAACCCAGGAGAGCAGGGATGAGGGCTGGGAGGGAGCTGGGAGCCACGGAGGCTGAGGCAAGCGTCCCACGCGGCTAATGAGCTCCCGCATCAGGGCCCTCTGCTTGCACAAGCCCCTTTCAAGGCCACAAGGGGCCCCAGTATGTTCACATGGTCATGTGTTTTTATAAAATTTGCAAAAGTGGGCTATGTTAAACACAATCAGTTAAGATCACTATCTCGTCCCGTCTCAGCTCCTTTTCAGTCCCCTCAAGTCTGGTGATGTTGAAGTAACTAGGCATTTTCGAGACCCGGTGAAGGAGGGTTTCCTTGGGGATTCCTTCCTAGATGGGGATGTGTGTGTGGTTTGCAGTCATTCTCTGTAGTCCCATTTTTGCTGGTTGTACAGCTTCCAGGGATATTCCTGCTGCCCGCCGCGCTACCTCACCCCACAGTGTGAGTTGTGTTGAGACATGAACGTGTCCTACGCTGCCCAGCACCACGAGTATGTGGGTGCCCGAGGAGAAACAGGGTTCAAATGTCAGAAGCCAGTCTGCGAAAATTCTTCAAATCATCAGACACATAAAACTGCAAGCAGAAGATTCAGTTACTGTTTGTGTTTAATCAAAACAGAATTCTCTCCTGTCAGGAATAAAGTCAACAGTGCAGGTTATACAATCACCCATGCGCCAGACTAAAAAACCAAACTCATTGCCATCGAGTCAATTCTGACTCATAGTGA